AAAAATCACCTTTGATACTTTGGGTGTAACTTTTTTAATAAAGTCACATCTGAATTGTTAGAAATAACTTTTATTAAAAAATATTAATAAAAATTTGTATTTGAACTATTAGAGGGATTTTATTAGTATTTAACGTTAATAATCTGAAATTTCAGATTAATCTGAAAAGTTTTGGTTTAGATTGGGTTTTAGATCAGTTTAGTTCAGATTGATATTTTTTGGATTTATAATCTGAAGTGAACTAATATGAAAATTTTAGATCAAATCAGATTGGCCTTTAATCTAAACTGAACTAAGATTTTTAAAGCTTTAATAATATTATTATTACTCAAAATAGTATTTAATCATTTTATAAAAAAATTAACACTTTTTTTGCTAGACAGTCTAAGTGATAATTATTATCATCAGAATTTTTATAGAAAAAATTCTGAATTATTAAAAGATATTTGGTAAATATAAAAAAAAATTTTAATAAAAGCATAAGTAAGCTTTTTAAAGTTATGTTATTTTAAAATTTAAAAGTTAAAATTAAATATAATGAATAAAGTTTTATTAAATTGTTATTTTATTTAATATATAAGTTTTAATTTTAAAAAGTATAAAATATTAAAAATATATTTTTTTTTGTGTGTAATCAGATTATTGCAATTAATCATATATCAAAAACATTGCATATAATAACTGTTTAATGCTTAGTTTAAATTTGTAAACTGAGTAAAAGTTAGAATTAGAAATTAGAATTAATAGTCAGGATTAGAAATGGAGTTTTAGATTTAGGTAAGTTTGGCATTAGGGATTGATCCAGTATACTGTTAAGTTATAGTTAGGATTATCACTTTATTTTTAATAAAGATTTTAAAGGACATATTTCGATTAATTATATTTTTGTATTATAATTTATTATATTTGAATTTTAAAAGTTTGATACAACGGATTGCCGGAAGACATTATTTACAGTATAAATCATTATTTTTTATATTTGATGTCCCGTATTCGTAAATTTATCTAATATGCTAATATGATTTTTAAGATTTTTTTTTTTAACATTGAATGTGATGATGCGTTCCTTAATGAATATACTAACGTAATTAATTGTTATTTTTATTTGTTGTCCAAAACCCAAATTGATAGTCAAAGATTCGAAAAGTAGAATCCTGTATTTTCGAGATGTCGTGACTAATAAATCTGTAATATTCTGTAATATATAAAATATATAACCATTCTGATAAATATATATACAAAAAAGAACGTTCAGAAAAACATGAAAAACATCCAAAAACCCGCAATCGCTCGATTGCAAATTTTACAAGACCTGACATTTTTCTGGACGTTTATATACAACTCTATACGTTTTTCGAACATTCTTTTTTTTATCAGAAGATAGACGAAAACGAATTTGTAGTAATGCTATCGGGAATATTCATCTAGTAAATCAATTGTGATCTTATATCAAAGATAATCCTCTTTATTGTAAAGAACTGACCATTCATGGATGATTTCATCACCTTCTAATTACGTGATACACAAATATTTGTTAGCTATTCAAAATTGAAAATTTGTGTACCATGCACGTAATTGTAAATAGAGCTGGAAAATTTCGGTAAAGTTTTTTTAATTAATAAGTTAAAATATTAGATTTAACCTAAGTCCTGGACTATTAAATTCAATAAAAAATTTTAAATAAAAATTATTTATAAATTAAATTAACAAGTTATAAACTGCTTATCTCGATTTATTAATACAAATATTTTTTTATTTATTTAAGACTCTTCTTTGTTACCTTTCTACTTAAACCACAATTTTTTTTTTTTAGTTTTAATGATTTTATTAAACCTATTCATTATTCTAATTTTTTTATATATATATATGTATAATCGAAATTTTTAGCTGTAAAACTAACTATGCAAAGTACATTTTCCTAAATCTCTCTGGATAGCATTTAACAGTCTTTTTATGAACAGTTATCATTCGGTATCGATAGGAGTACTTACGGGAGTATCCAATCTTATATCAGGAGTAAGCGATTCATCTTTCAAATGACCTTATCAAGAAAATTTGAATAATTTCATGATTATAAGAACAAAATTTTTTTTTTTTTTAAAATATATATCTATATATATTATACTTACGATGATGTGTATTATCATCTTCCAAATTATTGAGCTTTTTATCAATTATATCGAGCATTTCCTTCGTGAATTCCACTTTTGGGAAGGGGTAATTTTATATTATCTAATTAATAAAATCGATTTTAAGTTGAACGAATGGCATAAAGATTATTCGCCAAATACCTCTGTTACTTGCACGTTTAATTTGTGATAAATGAGGATCGATTTCAATGTTTACACATTTATTATCACTATTGATAAAAGATGAAATCAACAATAATCGAAAAATCTTTTTTTTTTGACGTGTAAACGACTAAAAACTTACTTCGAAGATCCAAACTTCAACCCCTTGGTACTTTTATTTTCAAAGGCTTGTGTACTCATATTCTCTACTAACTTTCTTCCCGTCTTTCTTTATTTCTTTATTTTTTATTTTTATTTTTTATAAAAAAAATATTTATTATCTCGATAACGTAAACAAAAGTGAAAATTTTTATGGGAATTTTTTTTCAAAATGTTCGTTGATAAACACGATCCCTTTTTAATAATTACATTTGATGGTTTGGAATTTCGGGTTTATAACACGTAAATTTTTATCTTGTAATCAAATATTTGATAAATTTGTAATCATAACCAGTATCCTTTTTATAATTTTGGATATAGTAGGTGTGAAAATGTATTTATTGGATGTTGAAGGAGGTTTGGTTTTATGTTAGATTGACGCCATGATTCAGTGTAACCGTGATGCTTATAAAAATGGATGATTTACTACTATCTCTTGGTTACGTAATTAATTTACTAATTGCGGAATTCAATTCTGAAGCTCATGTTGTATGCGAATTCTGTTTTTCAGGAGAATGAAATTGATTTTAAAATTTTTTTCTTCAGATCCTATAATTTCAAAAAATAAAAAAAAAGGAAAATAGATTTGGTGGCTTAAAATTTTTTTGATCAATGTCACATGATAGACACAATCTCACTATATATATAATATTGTTTTCACCCTTTTTTTTTTGATTTCTTTTTCCGGTCATTTTTCAGAAAATTAAAAGAAAATGATTGCGATTGGATTTGAGGGTTCAGCAAATAAATTAGGAATAGGCATTATCGAACACAGTACTGAAACAGGCGTAGTAAATATATTAGCAAATATAAGGCACACACATGTTACACCGCCAGGAACAGGATTTTTACCGAGGGATACTGCTGTTCATCATAGGGAGCATATCATACCGGTAGTTAAAGAAGCTTTAAAAACTTCTAATGTTCAAATTAAGGATATCGATGTTATCTGTTATACCAAAGGTATGATGAATAGGATGAATAGGATTTATTTTCTGATTCAATTCAAGGAAAGTTTGCGATTAAAATGAAGATTTTTTTATGAAATTAAAAGGACCAGGAATGGGAGCTCCCTTAGTATCTGTTGCGATTGTCGCTAGAACTTTGGCGTTATTATGGAACAAGCCAATTGTAGGAGTAAATCATTGTATAGGACGTAAGCAAATGTGTCTCATTTCTTTTCAATGTCTAATTTATTTCATTTAACTCGATCTCTTGCTTGATCCTTAAAGATATTGAAATGGGGAGGGAAATTACTGGAGCCGATAATCCTGTGGTATTATATGTTAGTGGAGGAAATACTCAAGTAATCGCATATTCAGAGCACAGGTGAGAAAGGTTAATTCAATGATGTTAGAATCTGAATATGATTGATTGACTGAAGAGATGATATGTAGATATCGAATATTTGGAGAAACTCTCGATATTGCGGTTGGTAATTGTTTAGATAGATTTGCAAGAATATTAAATTTATCCAATGACCCAAGTCCAGGTTATAACATTGAACAACACGCAAAGAAGTAAGTAATGTTTCCCTTTATTTTCTTTGATTTAAAAAATAAAATAAAAAAAAATATCTTTTCGTCTTTAGAGGAAAAAAGTTTATCGAATTACCTTATACCGTAAAGGGAATGGACGTATCATTTTCAGGGATTTTATCAAATATAGAAACCATAAAAAATGAACAATCGTGTTCCCCTGAAGATTTGTGTTTCTCTTTGCAAGAAACTGTTTTTGCCATGTTGGTTGAAATTACTGAAAGAGCCATGGCCCATATTGGTAGTAAAGAGGTTTTAATTGTTGGTGGCGTTGGATGTAATTTGAGATTACAAGAAATGATGGCACAAATGGTTGAACAACGTGATGGAAAAGTTTTTGCTACCGACGAAAGGTTTTGTATTGATAATGGAATTATGATAGCCCATGCTGGTTTGCTTGCTTATAGAACTGGTTTTATTACTCCATTAGAAAGATCAACTTGTACTCAAAGGTATGTGAATCTAATTTGCTTTGGAAATTATCATCATTATAGATTCCTTTATTAATTATTATTATTATTTCTTACTTAGATTTAGAACCGATGAAGTTTATGTTGCTTGGAGAGATGCAAATTGATATATTAAATTATTAACAAAATTTGTAAAAATTAAATTGTACAGTTTCGTAGGGAGATGTATATATATTTTTTAGCATTAGATATTAAGATTGTTGTCAATGTCGTAGAGATGATCTTATTGTTATAAATTAAATTTTTCCCGTTCATGTCTTACGAAATATATAAATAAATAAAACAAAAGGATATTCCATTATATAAAACAAAATTATTGATTTGTTAATTTATTTAATCGACTTATATATTTATATATCATCTATTAAATCTCATTCATGCATTCAAATGGGTAATTGACAATTAAATCACTGACTATTAATATATATATATCTTTTTTAAAAAAGAAAAAAAGGTTGGTTAACATATATTTATAAAAAAAAGATATAAAGAGTTATATAAATACAGGTTTGTATGTTACTTACACATATTGTCAACCAAAATTATGCTTCCTCATCAGAATCCAGAATTTCTATAATTTCTCGAAGTTTTTTATTCTGTCTTATTTCTTCAATTGGGTTGCTCGAGTCCACTTCAATATCAATAAATTTTGTCTCTTCAACAATTTCTTCATAATATCTTGCAAATTTAACCGTTGATGCATCTGGAACGCTTTTATCAACCTTTTTGAGAATACTTTTCCCAATGGGTTTATTATTGTTATTTCTGTTAACCGAAGATCTATTATTATTTACTGAAATTTTATGATGATTGTTTAGTGAAGGTCTATTATTATTCTCCGATAATTTAGGAAGAACAACTTTTTCTGGTACAATTTGACTCTCAATAACTTCATCAACCCCTACTTTACGTCGCTTTATGCCATCATCAAAATCAATGTACTTGTGTACGCGACTTTTTTTCCTTACACGTGCACGTTCTCTTTCGATCTCCTCTTCGGAATCATAATTAATTTTCCGATCTCTTCCATATTCATCTAAATCAACTTCTGGTTCCAGTTCAGGGGTCAATCTTGAATAGAACGGATCAGGAGTAAGACCCTTATATTCTAACCACGTTTTAGGTCGATAGTGTAACGTGAGAACGGCTGACGGTTTGTCAGCACTTTTCCATCCATAATAAGACCCGCCTACGTGACTTGGTACCAATTCCTCATTCTCATCAATTGGAGCCTCTTCAAATCGAGTACTAAAAGATAGACCAGTGTAGTTTTTAGATTCTGTTACGACTGCTTGTTTTACAGTATAAGAAGGCCTTGCATACTCTTTTAGTGACCATGTAGCCTCAAAAAATTCCACTGATATGCTTCCGAATCTGCCATTGTTATTCTCCTTAACATCAACCTCCTTTGAGACATCATCCGACCACATTGATTGAGCGAATATAAAATTATATTTTTTCTTATCTTTTTCATCAATAAAATGCTCAATTATATTTGAACGTGAATCTGTCAACGTATAAGATGCGTGATCCCATATTCCATCAATGTATACATGAATTCGATACGCCTTCTTGGAATTTGCCGAATCCGCCCAAATCTTGACAGTGAATTTCATTCCCGGTTTTGGAACCGCTACGAACACGGTCCTATCGCTAGAAAATTAAAAAATACGTTAACCAATAAAGAAAAAGGTAAAACAAATAAAGATTGAACAAAATTAAGATGTCAAGTATTGTTAAAAACCTTTCGTAACGTTTGTCTGCGTTGATTCCTTGTATATAACTCTGCTTGGTAGTAATTTGCTAAAAAGTTTAAGGTAGTATACATCGATGAATAACATAAAAATGAAAGAGAAATATAGACCACTGTACAGAATTACCATTTTACTATTCTCATACGGTTCGCTATATTCTCGAAGGGGGTCATCGTTCACCAAGATCTCGATTCCGTAACCTCCTAAAATCATGTTTATTTTTTTTACAATACAAAAAGTTTATATACAGTATATTCTATATTTTGTGAGAAATTTATAGATTTTGTTGTTACACAATGCACCTAACTATATTTGGAAAGGGATTGTCAATTAACGATCGACGTGAGTTGATACAACACGTGATTATGCCTGTCTTAAAATTTTTTTTTATAAAATTTATTTTTTTATGCATTTTATGTCCCTTACAATGAATGAAAATGATTATAGAACATATTCTTTTGATCTCATTTCTATACATGGATTTGTTTGGAATAAAGGTGGCGTAGCAAAGACGAGATATAAATAATATATGCATAAAAAAAAAAAGAAAAGAAAAGAAAAAGAAAAAGAAAAAATATTTTAAACTTTTTGAATGCAAAGACCATAAGGTCTTATATACCTATCATTATCAGTAACAAAAATTTCTCCATTTGATTCTACCTTAAAGGAACCGGGTTTAACACGATTTTGAAACACAACTCTATATTTCTCTCCCTCATAATTAAATTCTTCAGCATATGTAACGGCTACTTCAATATTCGGAGTAGAATAAATTCCATGACCAAAAACGAATCTTTTTCCTTTGCTCAATAAAAATCCATCCTTTGCGATTGAGTTCGCATTAAATTGGGTCGTACCATGGTAGCTAACAATCCATTCACCTTCCACCGATTCCAAGTTCGTTACCCTCTTATTTACCCCGAGCCAACTATTGTCATCAAATTGATCAAGAACTTTTAACGCGATACGTCTCCAACCATATGGTCGATGATACTGGTAATTTCCACGCATATAAGATTCCCCGGAACATTTCATATTTGTAAAGTCGAAATCGAAAGGAGGATCCAAGAAATCAAAATCAAGGATATGAATTGTAACAGATCCTCCATGTATACGCAAAGTCAAATAAATTGTTGTATCATTTGTGATTTCGTAATGTTTTAAAGTTTGATGATCTTGAAGTGTTTTATTGTCGTAACGTAAACATAGTTCCTCCGATGGGATTCGTTCAGTTTTATAAATTACATTTTTCAATTGACTTACGGAGGTATTCGCGTTTATGTTTCTAAACGTTATGGTCTCACCAGAAAGCTTTTTTATGAAAATGTTCCCGATAATTAAACATTGATCGTCCGGTGGAATTCCTTCGGCTTCATAAATTTTATTCTTCAATTGACTTACGGTAGAATTCACATTTAGATCTTTGATTGTTAAGGTACCTCCCAAAAACTTTTTTATGAAAATATTTTCTATGTAAAAATTATTCGTGGAATTATCAATTTCAACATCATGTGAAGAAACTATGTCATCATCAGATGAAGTGACCTCCGCAGCGATGAAATGATTGGAAGAGTCGGTACTTTTGACCAAGTATGTTTCATGTTTATGAAGTGAATTATAATTAAAGATTTGATAATTATAGTCGGAATTGTTATCATTTTGTAATAACATTAAATATTCATCATGCGAGACTATTCGCATATTCGTAATTTTAGATAAGGCTGCGGCCACGAGTGCATAGGTGTTCATGTTTTTTTTTTAAAAAAAAAGTCAAGAATAGATAATTTATTTATTTATTTTTTGAACCGAAATTTTTTTTTAAATAAATAAATAAATATATATTTATATATATTTTATACATATATAACCCATCGGAATTCTTAAATTTAAGACCGGTATTTATTACTCCAAACAAGGTATCAATTTCCTTTGCGCATTTGCGCATGATTACTTTTAAAAATAAAAAAAAAACCGTGATTGCATTAATGTATTTTGGATGATGCACTCCTTGCTGTGATAAGCAAGGACATTTTATCTTCAGATTATTCCTTTTGAACATTTTCGAATTGTCTTAGTTTATTTCTCAATTATCTATTTTTGTCTGCTTGGGACGTTTAAATGATGAATTCTATAGTATATTGATTCTTATCAATAAATCAAGATATATCTATTGTGTAATGAACTTTGCATTTAAAGTCGCACCAAATCAGAAGCCACAAAAGAAAAAGGTTAAATGAACAAGGTAAAAGACGAGAGAATGTTAACAATTAAATTTAACAAAGAAAGTAGGTGTTTGAACTAACCGTCCACACAATATAGCATGAATTGATAATTCAGGGGCAAGAGAATATGAGATCTAGGTATTTCAATCAATTACGAGAAAATGTTCGAAAGGAGATAATGTGCCGAATTCCGAATTTGCTATCAAATGAACTAATTAATCTAGTTATTTTGAAAATTTGTTTCTTTATAAAATCTTAAATTTAATAACTTCAATGACATGATAGTTACTCTTAACAAATCCAAATTTTTTGAATACATGAATTGAAATTTCGAGATTTCTGGCAATTAAACTGACATATACTAGTAGGTGTAAGTTGAGAAATTTTGACATACCAAAACCCGTAACAAACGTTTAAAGAGAAGCTCAATGACTCGTTTTATGTGTCTCGGAATTCAATATAATAACCGGCCTCATACTAAGAATAAAACTTTGCCAGCCCGAATTAAGAGTTATTGTTATGTAAAATATCTAGAAATCATCGGAATGTTTGGGAACATATATGGAAAAAAGGAATACTTATTTATATCATTCCGTATGTAAAACAATGTTAGTTAGAACATTTCCATGCATTCTTTGTTTTTCTACATATCTTTTTATTTTATTTTTTTTGAAAATGAATTTACTAGAATATGTCTACATTTATTTTGCATGAAATTTTGTATCACTTCAAAATGCGACATTCCATTTGACACCGTTTTTTGACAACCTTGACAATAAAACAACTTGAATGAATAAATTATTTGTATGTTATTGATCGAGGATATTGAAGATTACATATATTTCGCATAGTACTAATAGACCGTGTAATAATAATCATTAAAATATATCATATAAATAAATTCAAACATAAGTCATTCCGTGGTGGGGCCTTTGCAATAGAAAGTTGGGAAATTTCCAAAAAAAATATTAAATTTACTTTTATATGTCAAATATGATATTCGGGCTGAAAACGTTGATTTAATATTAACTCATATTATTTTTGGCAGTTTCTCCCTCTTTATTATTGCAAAGGTCTTATATGTTCTGGTTTTTAATTCTTATTTGTTTTAATCCATAAATAGACTGCTGTTTTAACCGGTGAAGTTTTCGGGGATACTCATTATTCACATTATGCAAAGAAAGAATTCAATTCATATTTGTCTTTGTGATTATAGTATCATATTTAGAAATTGATTGATATTTATATCTCACGCTATATATATGCGCTAATATTATGAATAATAATATTTACTGTTGAATCGTTATCAAAAAACAAATCATTTCAGAGTTGATAAAGTTTCACGTGTGAATTCGGAATTCAATATCTTGGATATTGAAAAATTGTTAATGCGTATATATATGTACAGCTACTTACTATTGACTTTTGGGGGTAAATTATATAACGATAAAATTTTGTTTGTATGTTTTTGATTCCAATGCGAGATTTTAAATTTTTATAAAATAATCTATTGACACAATAATTATGTAAATAATTTTAAAATAAATTTTTCCGGAATGTACATGTTAACAACACCAAGGTGAAGACCAATATTAGAATAACCATTCCTTGGATTTACTTAACTTACTTAACGTTCATTAGTTAATTTTAAAATTATATTAACTTATTAAGAGCGATTAAATCTTTATGCCTTTTCAACTCTATATATGAGAATTTAGTCCAAAATTCTTACAAAGTAAATGGTTGAATGTTCCAATTTATCCACAAAGAACGTGATGATTTGATATATAAATTATAAGGTCATAAGATCTCATTGTAATTATCTTTATTCATATAAAGGTTGATAAATATATTAAAACGATATATCTTCACTTATTTGAGTATCTAAACATTCAGAAACTATAAATAAAAGAAGTGTTAACTCGGGGTTTTTTTTAAAAAAAAAAAAATAATAACAAAGGAAACATAGAAAGAGATAATAGTACTTAATAGCATTACCTGTACAAATTTTACAAGGATATGAATTTACAGGATCTGGGAGATTCTTAAAATTTAATAACCTACTAGTATAAATTGCTTGAGAATGTGTTTGAATAGATTTGGGTTGACTTTCATTTGATTCATTTTGAAACATGTTTGCTCTAATCCTTTTACATTCTTCTATTTGAGCATAAATATCACTATTAGGATTCAATTGTTCATTACTCAATTTTTCTAAAGTCTGGTATAATTCTTTAGCAGTTGGGCGATTTCCCACTTTAGCATCCAAACATTTTTTAATTAAATCTGAAAGCAAGTTTGGAGTTTCATTAGCAATTTTTGGTCTTAGTCCCTTACATATTTTAACAGCTAAAATATCATCATGAGGAACATTACAATAAGGGATCTTTTCCGAAAGATATTCATTCATCACTATTCCAAACGAATAAATATCTGATGCTTTCACGTATTGGTATCCACGCAACACTTCAGGAGCAATATAAGGCAGTACTCCATAAATTCCTTCTGATTGTTTACTTTCATTAACTGGTTGACACATTCCCAAATCACTAATATATGGAATACTATTAAACAATATATTGCCTGAATGAAAATCTTTATGAACTTTCCCTACGTTATGTATATCATAAAGACCTCTTGCGATTTGTGATAAACCATAAATCTTATCATAATAAAGTGTATTTTTAGATTGAATAAAGTTTTGTAAATTTCCTCCTTTACAGTATTTTAAAACCATCATATAATCCCCAATAATTGGATCTTGAGTTAAGCCGTAACATGGAACGATACACCATAAATAAATTTGAAGGTGAGATTTAATCTGGTAAATCCATTAAAAAATTTTTTAAAAAAAAATACCGTTATTATTTATATAAAAAATTATTTTCAAATTTAATTACCTCGTTTAAAGAATCTTTACATATATCGGATAAATTATCTAAACTTTTTAATACGACCGTTTGATCTATGTTCCTATGCCATCCTTGTCTATTAATATCCCAAAATTCAATATTTCCATCGGACCAATATGCCTTATAAATTTTACTAAAACCTCCCCTAGTAATATAAGAGACGGTAGAAAATTGTTCAAAAGGTATCCATTCAAGACATTTGGAATAGTGGATAGCATTAAGTTGCGATTCTTGTATTAATTCATCGACGTTTTTATTCCCACTTGTCCATTTATTAAAATTTTCTTTAAACCTTTTGGCATTACAAGGTTGACACCAATGCCAACCTGTGCCCGGTCTATAGCATTCACCACATATTCCATATGCTTCCTTTCTTTTTTCTAAATCTTTTAAATAAACTACTGCTCGTTTATTCACTCCATTAATCTCCTCCAGTTTGATAGAAGTAATTGTAACATACCGCTTTCAAATAAATGGTTACAAATTTCAAATTCTATAATGTAATTCCAAAAAATAAAAGGTTTCAGGTAGTAAATAATCTACCTGATATTCGAAATTCCATACATTCCATAAATCTTGAGTTTTATTTTTTACTTTAGGAATTTTGTCAATGACTTTTGAGGAATTATTTTCTAAATTACTATTATTATTTTGTTTCGCAGTCCTAGTTTTATACAACCATTTAAATAATTTCATTTCTAATAATCTCAATGAGTAAACTTTTTGATTTATTTTTATTTTAATTTGGAGATAAGAGACGTGATACAATATCCTGCAGTAAAACATTTATATTTATTTTTTCAGCGAAAAAAATATTTGTATTACATTCTTAAAAATATTCCTATGATTCGTCTCTTTTTCAAAGTGAAACAGCACACAAGAACAATCAAAACAAAAAAAAATTTAGAAAATATTTATGTAGCTTAATACTTTCCGGAAAATTTCAAAATTCCCTTTTTGGCATGGCCAATTAAATGACAATGGCGTAGAACACCATAAAATAGAATGAATCGAAATATTATGAAAAGGACAGTTTTGGGGTAATCAAGAAGATTACACAATAACAATTGATCCTTTATACATTCTTCTATCCTATCTTCCTAATTACACAATAACAATTGATCCATTCTTCCACCCTATCTTCCTAATTACACAATAACAATTGTTCCTTTATACTCATTCTTCTATCCAATCTTCCTAACCAAATTTATTTTAATCACGTATAACTTTAAATTATTATTATATTCTTTATATAGGAATGTATCTGAATATAGTAAGGCCAAGACGCAGTAATTTATTTTTAATTTTTATTTATCAGTAAATTTTCCGGTCTTGTGATTTGCAATGATTAGAAGACAAAAGTATAATTTTAAATATCGCTAATTAGTAATTCAATTTGTATACAAGCGGATTTAGAAGACAAGATAGATTTATTCGATATAATTTGGCATCTTTATTCAAATATTAACATTTCTTTTATATAAAGGAAAAATTATTTTTGAAAAAATAATTCTAATTTTCAAAAAAAAAAAAAAAAAAAGTACGCATACAATAATAATATTAAAAAAATTGTCATATTTTTATTTTTTTGATTATGGATCCTACTTTTCAATTATCCTTAGATGCGTTAGACTCAATTATGCTTGATGAAATAAATAATGATTCTTGTTATGATGAGTTATTAACTTCTCTTATTATTTCTCGTTTAAATCAAAGTACTTCAGTTATTTATAAACAACCTAAATCAAACCATTGGTACGAAACAATTTTATTTAATTATGATTGATGATATACGATTTCGTAGAACATTAAGAATGAATCAATCAACATTTTGGAAAATCGTTGATAAAATTCGTGACCACGAAATTTTCCAAAAAAACAATCATCTGTAGAGAAACAATTGGCTGTACTTCTATATAGATTAGGTGGAAAATCTACCATATGGGAAATTTGTTCCAAGTTTGGAATTGCAGAAGGGACTGTTTTGTTGTTTACATCAAGAATAATTGTTGCTCTTAAATCATTAAAATCCCAAACTATTATTTGGCCACGCGATAATTATCGTCAAGAAGTACATAGAGGATTTGAAGAAAAACGCGGATTTCCTAATGTTATTGGAGCTTTAGATGGATCTCACATGAATTTATTTGAGGCCCCAAGTAAATTGAATAAAGATGTATATTTTACAAGAAAACGTCGTTATGCAATTTTCATTTACAAGCTGTCGTTGATCATTGTGGGTTATTTACATTCTATGATATTGGTTATCCTGCATCGGCTCATGATGCAAAGGTGTTTCGAAATTCTAAACTTTACCTTTGCAAAAACCAATTATTTGAAGAAAATGATTATTTATTAGGCGATTCTGCTTATCCGATTTCCAATATGATTATTACACCATTTAAAAACCCTTTAGAAAATAGACAAAATCGATTTAACAAGAAGCATAGTCAAACACGTATAGTTGTAGAACAGGCATTCGGTAGGTTAAAAAATAGATTCCAGCTATTAAAGGAACTTAGAACTAAGAATACTAAAATGGCCACGGATCTTATTGAAATTTCGTTAATTATGCATAATTTAGTAGAGCGATTGAATGATGTATGGGAAACTTCGGAGGATACAGATATGCATCAAATTCAATATAGTATTGACTTTAATTCAGAAATTTCTCAAGAGATTAAAGAATTAGGAAAAATTAAAAGGCAAAATCTAATGGATATTGTCTTGTAATTTACATTTATAAATATATTATAACGAAGTAATGACTGCTAGTAAAAAGTCTTAAAATAATTTATTTTTATAATATGATTTTATTAATATAAATTGTAATAATATTTTCTATTAATCGATAAAAGTTCCTGTTAAACTTTTGACCTCATCAGATGATGAAGTTAAATTGATATCCGATAGAGCATTCTCTAATACTAATTTGATCCCGCCAGTTAAAAGATTATGATTGTTTCATTTCCTCTGGTATTAGAAGTATCATCAGTCTTGAAAAATATTTGGGATGTATGAAAAGATAGGTTAGCTTCGTTAAAGTATTAACAAAGGATCATAAAGTAAAATATGCATTCATTTGAAATATCCGGATCCAAGGAACTTAATCATTGATAAATGATATTATAATATATTTGTATTTCCTCCAATTTGAACATGTTCGTCGGTAGCTCACATTCCATTACTCAACAAATACAACAACGGATTTCAAGATAATGTTTAAATCCCTTTTCTTGAACGCAAAATATGAATAAAGGCCACTTTACGTCAACCACCTACCGACCAATCTTACATTCACTCATATTATGACTACAGTACTTCACGATACTAACGAAATATGGAGCATCGCGATGCTTAAAGATGGGTCATGTCAGTATTCTGTAACAACAAGCTCTCGGTGAATTTACAAGAGGGAAAGTTCGAACCAAATCTAGAAGAAAATTGACATAAGATTTGTTGTTTGATGTTTGCAGTTTAAGCATGATTATAAGATCCTTGATAACAGTTCCTCAATCTCATCAAAATCTTGTGAATATCATTTTCATAATATTGTTGAATCATGTCTTCATAATCTTCATCATGATTGTTTCCAGAATTATTTAAGTCATCGAAGGCGACGTCTTCATTATATTTTTACCCATATTCGGATAAATCACTCGTTAAATATTACCTTTGAATCTTATTATTATTATTAAGATCTTGAAAATTAGATAATTTTTATTCTCGTCGTATTCTTGTAAATTATTATATCCTGTAATTAAAATACTTCCTCATTTTCATCGTAAGCAGGGAGTTTATCATTAATCGATTCTTTTAAAGTAAAGTCTACATCATAATCAGGTAATTTAAATAGTTCTTCTTCGTAATCAGTAATTTAAGCTCCTCGTCATAATCCTGTAATTTGAGCAAAGTATATCGTAATCAAGCCATTTAGGTTCATCATCCTGAAAATTAGATGAAGGTTCTTCAAAACTGGTAATTTAAGCTGATTGATAACACTGGTAAGAGAATTGTATAACAACGTAACCAATTTGGCGTAATGAACTATACTAGACTGAGATAGATTATCAGTTGTTCCATCGAGTGCAACAGCAAATTAGCAAGATCTTCACAAGTCGTTCCGCTACCTTCTTGAGTATCAGCCAAGATATATCCGTTTTTTTTGCTCAGTGATCCAAAATTCATCGGATAAGATATAAGACGTGATTTCCATAAATAACTACCAAGACCTCAAGAGAACGATTTGAGAGTTAACTCTTGACAAATGATAAGATTCTTCACATAACGACTTTAGAAATGAATTCGCAATAGACATTTCTTTCGAGAGTTTTAATAATTTCCAAGCCAAATGTATATTGTATTTGAAATTATCTCCATAACATCATGTCAAATCATAATCATCACTCCAATACAAGATAGTTAAACGATCTAAAGTAATCGAAGGAGACTTATTCTTCTCGGCAAATTTAGTCGAACGAAAATAGATCTAGACAAAATTTTCATCATCACTAATGAAATGATTTTAAAATTAATTAGGATTGCGTAGATACTATACTGCCTAGGAAAAATTGAAAACTCCCCATGAGAATAAACTCGAAAAACCCACCAAAAAATAATATAATCACTTTCTTTTAAAATCCGGGATATCTTAGAAGAAAGGAGTGATGAGCAATGTAAAAAAAAATTTAATTATCAAATATTACAAGATTTAGTTACACAAAGTGTTATTTATTCATTTTAAAAATTTTTAACGCGAAAATATTTTAAATTGGTTTATTATAAATACATAAATATAATTATTGCAAATTATTATTATTTTTAAATTCATACTCTATGATTTTTAACTCAAATTCCTTATTCATTCTTTCTAATTCTAATTTGAGTTTGAATTCTTGTTCCTTTTCAAACTTTTCTTTCTCCCATTTTAATTTTTCTTGTTCTATTTTTAATATGACTTCTCTTTCTAACTTCTTTTCATTTTGTTTAATTTCAAGTTTTTGTTTTTCGAAATTCAACCTTTCTTGTTCAATTTCGATTGCCATTTTTTTGGATTGGTTAATTGTTCCTAAAGCATCTAAATAAAGGCGATCACTTTCAGAAACCTTTCGTTTATTACGCTTTGTAGTAGATTACTGTCTACCTCACTTTCAATATCAGACTAATAAAAAAAAAATGAATTTATATGTATTAATTTTATATCAGATCATCGTTATCGCAAGAAATATCAAATTAATTTATACCTTATCTACATTAATACTAGATAATAAATAATCAGGCCGGACATTTTCTCTGTTTCCAAAAATCTCATTCATTTCATTAAAATATGTCCAACAGGATCTGCCTTTTCCCGTTTCTTCACGATTTTCTTCCTCAAATTTCGTAATCAACGATTGAATTTTAGATCTTACTTGTATACCTGTTTTTTTTATTTCCAATATTAATTGCAGCAGCTTTAGCACAAAATTTTGTTTTTTGTGTGCAGTATAAGTTAAAATTTTCTGAAAGGTATGATAATAATGATTTGATTTCGGAATCTGACCAACGTTGTGTTTCAGTTTCACTATCAGTCAGTTCTAATGATTGAATATTTGGTAGTGCATGCAATGCTTGTGAAGAGGAAGATTTGGTTGGTAATTATACCATTTACATTTTCAAATTTATAAGAATCAGGAAAAGTATTATTGAAAATGTAATTTTTTGGTTTGCTCATTTTTAGTTGCAAAAAACAAAGAACTATAACTGATTTTTACATCATTTATTACTTATCTCCTGCTAATATCTAAATAGAGATTTCTAGTTCATAAATTTTGCCATTGTTAATTATCAGTTGCAAAAACAAAGAGCAGTTTTATCTCGGATTTTTACATTATTTATTACTTATCTCGCTAATATCTAAATAGAGATTTCTTGATCATAAATTTTTGCCATTGTTGAAACGTCAATATCTAAATTAAGTCTTCTAATCATAACGGTGCAAATCACAAGACCGGAAAATTTACTGATAAATAAAAATTAAAAATAAATTACTGCGTCTTGGCCTTACTATATTCAGATACATTCCTATATAAAGAATATAATAATGACTAAAATTGAATAATGCCTATTTTTATATTTCCGATTTTGGAAACAATAAGAATTTAAAAATATAATAAATTAATAAGTTACAATCTTACTCCCAAAATTTAACAACATTTTTTTTTATTTCAAACATGAATACTTATGCATTTGTTGCCGCTTTTTTATCTAATATTATGGAAATACCAATCATTACTTATGATGAATATTTATCACAAAAAAGTAGTAATCCTGACCAATTGTATAAATCCTTTGATTACAATTCACTTCAGGAAGCGTGTATGGTCAAAGGTTTTGAAACTTCTGATGGGGTTGTGGAACTTGTCTTTGGAAATTCTGCGGAAAATATCGAAAATATTTTCATAAAAAAATTTTCTGGGGGCTCTTTAATAATTAAAAATCTAAACGAGAATATCACGGTAAATTTTTTGAAAAATAAAATTTATGAAATTGAAGGAATTCCACCGAATGAGCAATGTTTACTTTATAACCTTAAGACACTTGAAGGACATCGAACATTGAGCTATTATAAAATCAAAAATGATACTACAATTTATTTAAATACATATTTACGTGGAGGTTCGAATGCAATACATGTTCTCGATCCCGAATTCTTGGATCCACGTTACAATTACGACTTTACTGGTAAGATTTGTTCTAGGGAGACTTATATGCGTGGAAATTTCAAGTATAATCGACCAAATGGATGGGGACGAATCGCATTAAAAGTTCTTGATCAATTTTCTGATAATGATTGGCTTGGTGTACAAAATAGAAGGACTCCCTTTGAATCTGTGGAAGGTGAATGGATTGTTAGCTACCATGGTACTGCCAAATTTAATGCGAACTCAATCGCAAAGGATGGATTTTTATTGAGCAAAGGAAAAAGATTCGTTTTTGGTCATGGAATTTATTCTACTCCGAATATTGAAATAGCCGCTAAATATTATGCTAAAGATTTTGTTTACGATAGAGAAAAATATAAAGTCGTGTTTCAAAATCGTGTTAAACCCGATGCCTATAAGACAGTATCAACAGATTTATATGGAGATTATTTTGTTATTGGTAATGATAGGGATATTAGACCTTATGGTCTTTGCTTTCAAAAAGTGAAAATGTTAACTGTCAATAATTTTTATAATATTTTACGTAAATAAATGAAAATTGGGATTCATTTCATTTTTCCTATCCAAAATTAATCAAATTTAATTTTCTTTTTAAAACAAAAAAAATAAAAGAAGTTCTTTAATAAGAATAAAAAATGATTGATAAAAATTTTAACAAAAAGTATTACATAAAAATTTTGACATAAATTATTAATTAAAAGTAGATCGAGTTGTTAATCACAGGATGCAATGATTCTAATATCATAGTTAAATTAGTAAGATTTCCTTTCGCCTCTTTCTTAGACCCTGTTAGGTTTTTTTATTCCATTAATATATCGTTTTTCGTTTTTCACATTCGGATGACACAATATACAGTATATATACAGTATATATTCTTCTTTTTTTTTTGACACACTGACCCGTAATTCTATGATCATTTAGGGCTAAAAATAATCAAGTGCGCATATATTTAGAAAATTTAGAAATGAATACTAAGAGGAAATTGTGTCATTTATTAATTTATGATGTTATTCGAAGAATGTTCGGAGAATAAAATCTTCCATGCATACATTGTTTCCTGTTATGACAATTGCAATAATTTAAACTAAAAGTGTTTACGCATTATGCATTCAGCATCCAAACGTACAAATTATTTATTAAAGATAATATATGATGATATCAAAAAGAAAATAAAAAGAGAAATCCCGTCTAATGACTCACTTCATGAAACAGATTTGGTCAAAGGTAACACCGAAAATTCTACCATAAACCAATTGAAGGATATAAGACTACGACTTTGCATGTTCTGAGAATAATTACAAACGACCATGTAACGCGTTAAGTTCTTGACAAATTTAGCGATTTTAGATGGTTACAAACTTAAAAATGAATGGATTGTAAGTTATCATGGCCAAATATAATACGATACTAGACTATGGTATTTGTATTATTAGAACTTCATCATTCTTTCACAAATAAATTTAATACTACAGACTGAATAAGGTATTCTTTTGAACATGAAAATAGCATACATGGTTATTTTTAAATGGGTCAAAGTTGTTATCAAAATTTGAATTGGAAGTTGATCAATAACCATGTGGTATATCGAGAAAATCCTTCTAATTCTGCATTTTTTTTTTAAATTAATTGATTCAAAAAAAAAAAGGGTACACATTACATTATTTGCACTATGGTTTTCCCGTGAAAAATGACAAAAATCATTAAATTAAATAATTGAAAATTCCGTGAAATCAAACAAGTCAACGGTTCCATAATAAATAATAATATCACTTGTTTAAAAAAACAGAAAGGCGACAACAGCTGTTAACAAAATCCAACATCCCATATCCCAAAAATTGAAAGATACACCTTTAGAAGATTTATTAGTAACATAGACAACATCAGTGGAGGAAGGTTTTAAAGTAGTAAGAGCAGGAGCAGCTTCTTTGATAATAGTAGATTGTACGACCACTGGAGCACTTGGAGCACTTTGAATACCAGTTTGAGTAGGTAAATCACTATTTGCGGGTTGTCCGTTAAACGGATCTATAATTTTAGGTGCTTCATTAGAAGGTAAAGGGCTCGCTACGGATGTAGTTACGGGAATAGATGAGGTGCCAATAGGAGTTTGATCGGTAGTTTTTGGAACATTTGATGTTGTACTTATAGGAGTCGTAGGTGCCAATGTGTGAGAAGGAGGTATGATAGTAGGGATAGTAGGGAATAATCCTGGTAACCGTCGTATTAATTCATCTTGATTATTATTATTATTATTTCTTATTACATTCGTGTGACAATTTGCTAATGTATTATAATTCAGTATTGCCAGCAATATTAAAGCTAAAAATTTTATGCGCATTTTTATTACAATCTCTTTCTATATATCCTGGAACGAAATCGTTGCCAAGAGAATTATAGAAGCGTTAAAAACAATTAGGAAAGAAAAATAAAGGCTTGCTTTTTTTTTTATCAAAAAAAAAAAATTGAAATATTATTCCTTTTATATTGATTTGAATTTTTTTTCCTCAACTTCTTTTCTCTTTCAAGGAGAAATGTAAATGTGATATTGTTTTTGTAAAGATACGTTTATAGAAAGATCGCGTTTACAGAATGATTTAAATTAGTCACTGATTTTCTATTTTTGGGGTCTAACAAATGCCTGGATAAATGTGATGTTTCAAAATTTAACTTTCACCCATATTTTCGTTATATTTAATATTATTCTCTTAATACTTGCAAAAAAAGAGCAAAAAAAAAATAATAATAATAATACTGAAATTGCAAATGAAAGATGAGCGTGATTTTCGAATACATTTTCTTATTCGAAATTTCGAAAAAGATAATTTATGTATCACAAAATTTAATTTTTCACATTTCCTTCAAAGCGTGGAATTTTTGAATAAAACATTTTAGGTAATTATAATTTTATAATAATAAATACTGTAATTATAAGATATGATGATAACGCCTCAAGATTTTTTCAACGTAATTATTAAAAATGATGAAGATGGCACAGAACATGGAAAAGCAGATGTCTATTCAAAATCGAAAATATCATTGGAATGTTTGTCGAACTAATTCCTCATACAATAACAAATATTATTCGTGTTAAAGTTGAACGTAAATTATAAAAAAAAATACTTATACAAAGAATGAAGGTTCTTTTGATTAGAACCATGAAAGAAGAAAATTAGTGTCACTCAAGTACAAATCCAATCCATTTAAAAGTTCCGTTGAAGATGAAGTTTTATTACACGTTTATTTTTTTGATAAATTTTTTTGCTCCAAGCTTAAAATAATTAATCTTAACTCGGGCCGAAATTTAATTTTCGGCAAGAATTAAGATTTTTGTGATTACCACCAAATATATAGTTTCAAAAGTATTGCATCACCCAACAAAATGGTGAATTAAGGTTTAAAATCGTTGCGTAGTAATTTTTAAAAAAAAGATTAAAATTAAAAACCAACAAGAAACTGTTATTCTTTATTTAAATTATACGAGACAGATTTAAATTTTGATGACATTGTTCTGTTTGCTTCTTGTGATCTTTTTTAAAGAGCTATTATTCACATACGTACTTATAATAAATTTTTGGAAATTTAATTATTGAAATACATAAAAGAACTCGAAAAAGTATCAATTTGATGAAAAGAAGAGCATTTTTTAGAAGGAATCAATATAATATTTTAAATCGACGAAATTACGAACAAAAGAAAATGCAATTTACTAAAGAATTTTTTATTTATAACAACTTATCACCATCAAGACAGAGAGAGGGTTAGATGGACATTTGGAGAAGTCATATATATTCTTACGAAAAGGTCGATTAGTTATGAGCCCGTTGAATTAGTAAATAAAACTTTTTATACATGCGATAGAACAAAGCGTAGATTATTTAATGAATCAAATGCAGAATTTATGAAAATTTATAAGCATGCCTTTTGCATTAGATAAAAAATTATTATACCTACAATCGCCGAATCTTCTTCCGTTGGAACTTTATTTATGGTTTGGAGTTCATGGTAGAGACACATTTCCGGATGGAAATCATGGAAATCACTCTTCAGATGATACTGAAATAATAAACCCGGAGCCATTACAGGAATAAACATTAATGAATATAATGTTATTGACGCACTTCAATTCTTTTATCATAATCGTCCTTGTACTTTAGTAGGAAAACCTAAAGGTGTCATTTAACTACGATACGTGGATTAAATAGTCAGTATAATCTTATTATTTCCGTAGATTAATGAATTCAAAGCAACAGTGTAAGTTATATTTCTTGACGGAATGGAAAATTATTTGCAAAAAATACCGGAGATCAATGTTTTTCATATGCGCAAATTCTTATGAGGTTAACAATTGATAAAAATGCTCATCATATAAATGCTAGTAGAAAACTTGTGCAAGAAGAAATATATGGTTAAATAGAATATTTTTATTAATAATAGCAGATCTATATTTCCAATTTCGTGAAACGATTTACACCCGTTTATTACAAATGCCGTTTCACAAATTTTTTTTGTCAGGTGGTGATTCACTTAAGGAGTTTTTGCTCCACAATTTTTATTTTTACACTTCTCCTTTTTAAAAATTTTTCTTTTTTCTTTTTTCTTTTTTTTTTTTTTAAAGAAAAAAACATGGCATCATCAAATAATGAAAAGAGTTCAATTCATTCATCAAAAAGTAATTTATATGGTAATAATGGAGGAAATTCATCTTTCGTTGATGAATCTATGGTTGTGAAATCATCATTAGAAGATGTAGCGGCTGGTATAACTAGGATAGAAAACGTTTTATTAGATCTTACAAAACAGATTTTCATATTAAATGATAATATAACAGTATTAATAAACCAACCACCACAGACTACTTCTTCTTCATTAAATGGTCAAAAATCAAATAACCTGCTTCACCAAGTGGATTTACAGCAAACTGAAATAAAAAGAAGCACTAGCATAAGAACGTATCACAAAGATTCCTCCGATACAATTGGAAATTTATCTTTACAAATTGCTACCTTGACTACCAGTGTAGCTCAATTAATTTCTCAAAGAAATAGTAATTTTATTGCTTTTCAACCTCCGATTCAAAGAATTCCAAGATGGAATCATGATCCTTATCGGAATTCAAATCATCCACCTCCAATACCACGAATCATAGCTCCTAGACAGGAAAGAAGTAAAGTATGTTTTGAAGTATTCAAACTGCAATTTAAATAATCTTTTTTATTTATTTATTTCGAATTTTTTTTTTATCCTTTTATAGTATGTTGATAAAGAAGTTGATGAGGTGATTGAAAAGTTTGAGAATATGAGACTAAGACCAGAATTACTTCGTGGAATTTTGGATTATGGGTAGAATTCTAAATTAATTTTATCTTTTTATTTTATTAGATTTTCATCTTTTTTTTTTCTAAATAAACAAAATTATCATACGTTTTTAGGCTTGATCGACCTTCATCAGTACAGCAACGAGGGATCCCTTTATTATTAAAGGGACAAGATATTATTGCACAAGCAAAAACGGGACAAGATAAATATTCTACATATTGTATACCAATCTTACAAAATATGGAATTACAATCAATAAGGACGCAAGCATTAATTATAACGCCAACGAATGAAACGGCGGGACATGTATATAGATTAATAATGGGATTATCAACATCAATGCGTGATTTAGAATGTTTGCTTTGTATAAGTGGAGGTAATATTGGGGATGATGTGAAAAAGGTGCAAAAAAGACCTCATATAATAATAGGAACACCAAATCGAATGTGTGACTTGGTGCATTTGGATGCAATAGATTTATCATGTTTAAAAATATTTATTATTGATGATGCTGACGTTCAATTGGAACAAGGATTTAAAGATCAAGCAATGGAATTGAGAAGAAATTTTCCTATAAAGACTATAGTTCAAACCGTCATATTTTGCGGAAATGTTAATGCTGAAATAATGGAATTAACCACACCTTTACGAATGCGCGAACCTGTTAGAATACTTGTTAAAAAACAAGATCAAGTGCTACAGGGGATACGTCATTATTATTTATATATTGCTGTTGAAAGGAGTGATTGGAAATTTGAAGCTCTAAGTGATTTATTGGATGGTATGAAAACTTCAAAAATAATAATTTATTGTAATAAAGATAGCACCAAGGATTCTCTATGTTATAAATTATGTGCAAGGAACTTCCATGCCGTTGCTCTGGTATGTATATTTTATCTTTTTTTTTTTAAAAAAAAAAAAGTGAATTCTTTTTTGGAAGGTTGGAAGGTTTCTCAGGAGTAATCTTATCATTTTTAGCATGGAGAAGTGGGTAGTTCACAAAGAAACTTAATATTGGATAAATTTAGGTTGAATAAGGACAACATACTTATTACAACAGATTTAATAACAAAAGGGGTAGACGTTGAACAATCAGTTCAACTGCTGATAAATTTTGAATTACCCTCCAAACCTGAAGAATATGGGAAACGGTGAGAATGATTTCTTTTTATCTTTCAAAAAAAAAAAAATTTCATTATATTTATCTTATTTTTGGAAAATAAAATAGCATTGCTATCGTGACTGCATCGGGAAGTAGTCGTCAAGGTGTTTCAATATCGTTTGTAACATCAAAAGCCAACGATATGGGCAATTTACGTTCGATTGAAAGTTTTCATAAAATTAAAATGCCCGAGGTACCGGTAAGTTTCTAAAAAGCTTTTTTATTATTATTTTATTTTTATTCTTTTTTTAAAAAGAGGGTTATTTACTAAAATCTATAAAACTTCCTTAGATTAATTTATCAGAAATATTATAATTTTTTGATTCACTTGTATAACTAAGTATTAATGTAAATAGAATAAATAATTTATGGATAGGATTGTAATTGTATTCTTAATCATAATTTCGGAACATTTTTATTGTTTAATTCCTGTGATACAACAAGTTCTAGAAGAATATTGTTTATAATAAAGAGACAAACATTTTTAATACGTGAATTATATCCTTGAATGTTACTAGAAATGTTGGAATGCGATTCAAAAAAGACTACCTACGATTTTCTTGAAAACCATCAATTATTATACAATTTACTAATAAGGACATATGTAAAGCAGAAAATTTGATAAATAAAAAGATTGTGACTAAAACGTAATAAACATTACAAATATTACGGGAGTTAATACTTGATCTGTGGCTGTGTCGGATCAAAAAAAAAAATTTTTTTAAATAAAAAAAATATATTTACGTGATCGTTAACCATTTCTTCGGGTCGTTGCTATTTCCATGTGTTCTTTATTAAGACCTGTCAGAGTATAAACGCCATTATGCCGATATACTAAATTGGAGCTTTGGCCCTTTGATAAATTGTTTTTACTTACGGATGATTGTGTTGGAAAAAAAAAATTTTTTTTTTGAGCTTTCGAATTCATTCATAATTTTTGTAATCACATATATTGATAATATATACATTTAATAATAAATGATATTTAAATAAACAAATAATTAAATATATATAAAATATATTTCAATAGGGCATATTAATTTGACACAAAGGTAAAGAATTCTGTTTACTACGCCAGGGATTATTTTTAATATTCCAAATATTTCTTCATTATATTCGTGAGGTAAATTATCATATTCAAGCCATTGCCGTAAGACAAATCAACGTGGGATTTATAAAAATTTTATCACAGCCTTGTTTTGCTAAGCCCCAACACTGCCTCAAATAAATTAAGCTAAATAACTTTCAAGCCGAGGTTTAGTACTTGGTTTAGCAAAGAAAGGACGAATTTTCTCATTGCATCCGCCTTCGTTGCTGTTGTTACTCAAAGGAAATCATAAATCAAAAAAAAAAATTATCATCACGACAAAAAAAAAAATAATAATAATGACATTGGTGCATTAAATATTAAATTATTATATCTACTTTTCCCTTCCTTTCGAGAATTAATTATTATAAGACTAAAAAATTCTATGACTCATCTATAATTCTCCAACTCACTTTGGGATTCCTCTTTTTTTTCGATTCCTTCACTTTGAATTCAAGGATAAACCTATCATAAAAAAGAAGAAATAATAGTTATGAGTGTGAGTATCGTTCCCCTCGAGAGTCTATCGATAAAGATATCCCTTATTGGGGAGGTATCTCAACTTGCAATAAATCTTGGTTTAGGTCTTGGTACGCTCGTACTATTTAGTTTTTTAAGGCCAAGGAATGGTATAGTTTATTCACCGAAACAATTTGCATCGTCAGATAAACAACCACCAATTATTGAAGAGAATAAATTATGGGGATGGGTCAAACCAGTTTTGGAAGCAGATGAATCCTTGTTAATAAGAAAAATCGGGTTGGACGCTGTTATGTTCTTAAGATTTATTAAATTATGCAAGAACGCTTTTTTATGCTTGTTAATATTTGGAATCTGCGTCATCATGCCTATTAACATTTATAGTACTTATCATGATAATAATTATGAGATACCAAATAAAAGTAACCCTTTGCAAATGTTAAGCATCTCTTATATTATACAGGTTAGATTTTATAATATATATATATATGTATATATATTTGAATTCCACGTTAAACATTATTTTATTTTCTAAAAAATCTTTTTTTTTAGCCGAATTGGTTTTGGACACATTCAGTATTTACATGGTTATTCTCATGTATCATGTATGTGTTTTTATATTTGGAATATTCGGAGTATCGTAGGTTGAGAATGGGTTATTTTAAATCAGAAGGATATCGTAGATCTTTACATTCAAAAACTTTATTAATAACGGGGGTGCCAAAATCAAAGCAATCAGATCAAGGGTTGATAGAATTCATGGAATTAATCAAGGTCAAATTTCCGATTTCTGAATCGGCTATAGCGAGAGACGTTGGAGAATTACCCGAATTAGTTATTGAGAGAGAAGAAGATGTACGCGATTTAGAGCGAGCCTTGATCAAGTACTTGAAGGGTAATTATGACAGCAAAACCGGTTTTTCTTTTGTTTCCTCAATTCTAATGTGACTCTTTGTTCAATGTAGTACCAGATCTTGATACACATAAGAGACCAAAGCATCGTAAACATGTAATCTATGGACGTAAGATTGATAGCATTGAATATTATACTCGTAGAATTGAAGAGAATGAAGCAAGAATTACCAAATTAAGAGAGAAAAGTTTAGACGAGAAGAAAACTTTGAATTATGGGTTCATTTCTTTCGAAACGATTCATGACGCGCATTCCGTAGTGAAACAATTGGATAGCGTCCCCTCCGGTGGTGTAAAACCATCATCAATACTCGCACCATCAGTTCAACTTGCACCAATGCCTCAAGATATCATTTGGAGTAACCTCTCCTTGTCACCAGCATTTAGAAGTACTCAAAGATGGATTGGGCGTATAGTTTTCATTTCCCTTTGTTTTTTATGGTTGATCCCATTGGGTTTTGTTATAACCGCAGCAAATATTGAAAATCTTGTGAAAATCTTTCCATTTTTACAAAGTATTTTTAATAACAACTTTATAACAGGACTCATTGAATCATGGATGACACCAATGATATTAACCTTGTTCGTTCTAATGTTACCAGCCATACTAAGAGTTTTAACAAGTAAACAAGGAATAACGACATATTCGGAATCAGAAAGGTCCGTCCTTGGAAAACTATATTTATTCTTCTTTATAAATAATTTAATCATATATACGATATCATCAACCTTATTGGATATAGCCACCAAGATTAAAGCATCGATAGATGCGGGTTATTTAAATGTAGGGGATTTAACAAAGGTTATATTTAATCCAGCGATTTTAGATGAGATAGCGGAATCAGCTATCAAAGTATCATTTTTTTGGATAAATTACATTTCTTTGAGAGGTCTATTTGCCATATGGGACTTGGCTCAATTCGTTAAATTGGTTTACGTTTGGTTTCAAAAGAAAATCCTAAGTCCCACCCCAAGGAATTTAAAAGAATTAATCATACCACCGGAATTCGATTATCCCGTTTATTATAATATTCATTTGTTTTTTTTTACCATAGCCATGCTTTATAGTGTGATAGCTCCCTTAATTTTATTATTTTGTTATGTTTATTTTTATTTGGCTTATATCGTTTATCGTTATCAATTAATGTAAGTAATTAAATGATACGTTGAAGGGAAGTTCCGATTCCTTTAAAAAAAAAAAAAGATAAAACTTAACTTTTAAAAGTTTTTTCACCTTCTTTATACCTTTTTTTTTTTTTTAGGTATGTGTTTGTTACAAGGGTTGAAACGGGAGGAACCTTTTGGAAACCCGTGTTTAATCGACTTATACTTGCCATTATATTTTGGCAATTTACAATGATTGGAGTGATGAATATAAAAGGAGCACATATACAATCTTTAGTGGTCATACCTTTGATCTTCCTTACATTAATCTTGAAGGTATTTTGTTCGAGGACCTTTGATAAATCAACGAGATATTATATACCAGATACGGAAAGAACCGGAAGGTTTGATAAAGGAAAACGCAAACAAGAAGATCTTCACCTTAAATTTGGACATCCATCAACAACGAAAGAATTAATTATACCAATGATACATGTTAATGAGAATATTAAAAGTCAATTAGAAAGTGTTTATAGTGGTAGGATTACCGAAACAACCGCTCTTACTAAACGCGGTAAAACAAAACGTATTTTGTTGATTGAAGAAGGTGATTACACTTTAAGAATTCAACCTATTGAGGAGAATGAATTATATACCATAGATCCGGATAATTTTAATATGGGTTACGCCTTTGAATTTGATTCTCGATCGATGTTGGAAAGAGATGGTAGTAGGTTAAGTAGAGTTAGTGTAAGTGACGATGAATTTGGTAGTAAAGATTCTAAGAATGATTTGCTAGATTATGATGATGATTATACTTTGCATCCTCCTCCTCCTAAATATCAAGAAGAGTGAAATATTTTTTTTTTAAATTTTAAAAAAAAAAATTTGATGTATTTTACTATTATTTTGTACAATAAATTATGCTTTTGCTTGTATGTCGTGTTATCTCTAACCTAATTTATAATTGATTAATTACTTGTAATGTGAACTTTCTGGCAAGCCCCTTTGTAAATTCGTTAAAATTAAGAAATTTCGACCAACCGATGCAAACTCATCGACGGACAACCGTACGACCAGAACAAACCTTGTCATATGTATTAGACCAAAAATCTGAAATTAGTTCTTTAACAATAGAATAGCTATTACTAAAAAACTTAACACAGTTACTTTAAAATCCAAGAAAACTTCTAACAAATATAAATATGAAAAAATGTTTGTAAAATGGAAAAATAAATATGATAAAGATGCCGATAGTAACATTTGTAGTATTGGGTTTATTTATTTTCATTTTTATATAAAATAAGCATATATTTTATAATTTTAGTTAATAAAATTAATAAAAGACAAAAAAAAATTATATATATTTTTTAAACATTTATCATATTTAAACTTAATATTAACTTGAATTTAGAGATTTTCTATTTTAGAATAAGTTTGAGAAATATTATGTGTAGTATAATAAAGTTTTCAATTTTCAAATTCAAGAAGTTGAATAATTGCTGATTTTTGATTTATACCTCTATTTTTTAAAGTTTTCAAAAAAATTTAGAAATTTGTTGATAAATTTTTTTTCAACTACAGTATCCCTTTAATGGTAAAAAATTGCAAGCAAATTTGCCTGCAATTTTAAACAATTTTAATTAATTTTTAACATAAATTTTTATTATTAAACCTATCGATTTTTT